AAATCAAATAGAAAATTGTTTCTGGAAGTCATAACTTGCTATGATGAAAAATGCTGTGTTACGCAGTTCGGATTTCCCTTTCTCGCAACTTTTAAATAAGGATTGGAACTACTTACTTGTTGGTCCTGCGCCTTCCCCAGGAACGATGAATTTGAAATAGAATAACGCTGGACAAAGGATAAATTACCCTAAATTACTAACATCAAAAAGTTTCGCGGAAAATCTTTCCATCCTGGTAGGAAAAGGATTTGGCCTGACTCCAACTAAGCTACGCCATTTTTCATCTCGTACCAAATTATCTGCGGCCATCTTGTTACATGAATGTAACTGCGCAACCAGCTACATAGCAATAAACATATACAGTTCGTCTAGTCTACAAAGAAGAAGAATTGTAGCCTACCTTATATGGTTTATTTTTTCCCCAATTCCCTTTCTTTTTCTTCCCAATTTGCCCAGTGTTTAACACTTCTTTTACAGTGGAAGTAAAAATGTAGATGCCTACTCATTCAATGAACATCGTAAATCAATGGCGCTGAAGAAGTACAGAGAGGTAGGTAGCGCAGCCACTGCAAGATATATGTTTGTAGAATTAATAGGAAAGAAAATAAATTAGAACTTAAATGAATAAACGAAAAGTATTCAAAGAAGATTGCATCACACAACTTCCAATTTTACAGTAATTTTGATGAATATTTCTTAAATATCTTACCATAATTGGGTGCTTGGTGAGCAAATATTATAACTTTAATTTGAAGGCCTTGGCAAATGTATACTCATGCAAATTTACCTTAATTTAAGACTGAACAAAGCATTGAAGAGGCTAAACAGCTGTATTCACCAGACTACTTCAAAACGAAAAAGGTAAGCATTAGCTCTAACTACAGTACTCTAAAAGGAATCTTTAAAATAATCATTTTCAGTTCACAGCGCCAGAAATCCCATCATGGAAACGTGAACTACTAGCAAAACGCTTTTCCAGTGAAGCAATAACAAACTTCGAAGAGAAAGCTTGGGTGCGTAAAGATCATCATCACAGCAGTTCCTAAGCATTGAAAATCGAATTATCGATTTTTTAGAGGAATTTTTTGGAATGGAAAAAGCGGAATGCTCCTTCAATCAATCTCCTTCCACCAGAACCATATGCTCGTCAGTGGTCGTGATATACTATTTGCTGATGATATACCTCATTTAATGACCAATAAACGAATACCTCAGTGTTTGAATTTTGAGCAAAACATATTTTATAGGGGAATAAGAAGGCGCTAAAAATAATGAGCTTACAGGCTTGTCTGTAAAAGGATTAGCATCACGAAAAAAA